TCCCCTCTCGCAGGTCCCCCGCAGACGGGCTGGCTCCGACTGGTCCACCTCACACACGCCTTCCACGGGCGTGCAGACACAAGGTGCGGACTGATTTGTTAAGAAGCAAGACTTTGTGAAGGGACCACTATAACAAAAAGAGTTGCTTGCGCCAGCAAACCTGAATGGTTAAACGTCCAGAACGAGAGCAAAAGGAGACATTTGAGAATGAAACCCAGAGAGAACGCAGTGAGGAGCTGAGCTGAGGACCAGGCTGGCTGCTCACGCCTTGCAGTGACTGTGAAACCACACAGGGCTGTGGCAATCAAGCAACAACCACGAGCAGAAGCCAGGCTGACAGACAGCCACATCAGGTGGTAATGGAGCCACCGCTGACTGCTGAGAGGCAGCTGAGCTGTTAAAATGAGGAAATTCCAGCCTGGCAGCAGCCTCAGTGCCAGGTCCAGGTAGCTGAGGACTAGTGCATACATACTACAGGGTATGCACAGGATGCCCAGATCCTCTGCCTAGCTTTGGAAAGCTCAAGAAAGTGGAAGGCAGAGCTGGGAAATCCCAGCCTCCTGCGGAACTAATGGCATCTCTCAACAATTATCTCCTAAAAGCCCTGAAATCCCAGTCTCTCAGAAATTCATGAATAAGCAAACACGCCCCAATGCCACCACGAACCAGAGCAGATGGACTCTGCCAGACTGGTGGATATTAGCTATTTTCCTCATGAATTAGCAGTAACCGCAAAGTCTGAAGCTGCTTTTCCTAAATAAAGTCCTTTCTCTTTCTTCGGTCGGTTCTCCTGCCACGAAGTTTTGCTTCCCTGTTCCACTTGCACAGACTATCCAGTCTGTCTGCTGGGATGTCGAGCACCGCGGGGTCCCAAACCTGGCTCAGCACGGCCAGCCCCTGCCTAGCACCCCACCGCAGACGAAGGGCGGACGGGCATCACCGCCGGCTGCCTTCCCGCGAGGAGGATTTGCCGCCCCACAAGACAGCCCTGTTCCGCTGATCCTTGCCCGTTGCTGTTGGGAAAGCACAATTCTTCTGGAAGAGCGCAGCAGCGCTTGCAGAGGCACCACTCGAAAACCCCTGCTTATATTTAGCTGTCCGGAGCAGGGCGGGCTTCGCCCAGCAAACCCTGCTACCCAGTCGTTACAGCCAGCGTCCCGCAGAGGCCGGGTCAGCACCAGAGCCCTGGGCAGGGGGCAGTTTGTCTCCTGGTACCATCCCCGCAGCCCTGGGGACACTGCAGCTCCGCGCTAGCAAACTCCTGCCTCGGAATAGAATCACAGAATCACAGAATAGTAGGGGTTGGAAGGGACCTCTGTGGGTCATCTAGTCC